TAGTATTGTTGTGTTTCTTAGGGTTAGAAATTCGAAAGCATAAATGTTTTTTTGAAATCTTTAAAATTTACCTAAGTGTGTTTATTTCTGTGTATAGTAAACAATATTTAACTATAATTTGATTTTATAACATGGTTAGTAGTTAATTTAGTCAATTTAGTTTAGGGTTTAGGGTTTAGGGTCTGGACGACTTATAATTAAGTCGTCTGGTAAATATATTTAATAAGGCAAACGACTTAGTCGGATGTATAGTATCAACAGCCGACTTAATAATAAGTCGTCCAAACCGGATTTTACCAAATTACTTTTTAACCTAACCAGATTTTATAAGAAGATTTTTTTTTTACGCACTTTTCGCGAAATTGAGAAAACCCTAACGCGTTTCTCTCAAAGGTGATTTCGAGGCGATTTCGCTCCAATACAAGACCAAGGTAAATCGAAGGCTTCTCTTGCAGATTTATGGGTTTTTATTAGGATGGATGTTGTTTTCCTTAGCTTTTACCGTTTGGTTTTGTGTTTTCAACGATTTGGGGTAATTTTGGTTTCAAATTAGGGTTTCAAAAATTGGGGATTTCAATCGACTTGTTGTTTAGTTATGTTGGATGTTGTTTTCCTCTCATTTTACGGTCATTTTAGGGTCGTCCACCTGGAAGTTCTACTGGAAGTCTTGGTAGACTTATAATTAAGTCGTCTGGAATGTCTTCCACCTGGAAGACTTTCTAGACGACTTAATTATAAGTCTACCAGGTGGACGACCCAGACGACTTAGAATTAAAATTTTTCCAATTCGTTTCTTGTTTGCAGATGGCGAATCAGCATGAACCTCACTTCTTGAAGCCTCTGCTTCCTGGTTTCTACAGTGGCGTGGTATACACACGCTCTCTATTTCTCCTCTGTTTATTTCCTTTGCTTATCTTCTTCTTTGTTGACTTGTAGACAATACCACTTGCCTTCTACGCAAAACACATAGAAGGCACGCCGAACCAAGGGGAGCGTTAAAAGACCAACAAGCTGCTTTAAACCATGGGGAGTCAACTGACTGATCGACAGCCCCAACCTGTGGAGATACCGAATGATGATCTCTGGGATCGGAAACCATAAATGACATTGCTCCAAAAATACGTTGTAACACGTGAAAAAACCTTCGGGCGCAGCCTTGTCACTTTCTTCCGCAAGTGGAAGACGGAATT